CCTCCGGGCTGCGGGGAGCCCAGGGCGGCCTCCTCAGACAGGGCTGCTGGCGTGCAAGCCCCAAGGCGAGCAGCAACTTCAGCAGAGCAACATCATTATCCACCCACACCACACACGGATTCAGGAAAGACTCCCACCACGTACGGCATCTGCTTCCCTCTCTGCCCCAAGCCCATCTCCAAGGAGCAGAGATTTCCCCTGCTCTGTGTGCCACACGTGTAGTGGAAACGCAGCAGCAGGGGCATGGGTCAAAGCTCAGGCAGCTGCTGTCCAGCTGCAAGAAATACCATGAAGAAACAGCCCAGCCGATGTGGATTCCTGCGGCAACAGAGCCGGCAGGCTGAGCACAAACCAGTGTTGGATGGGGTGGGTGAGTCAGGACAGGAAGCCTCTGGTACAGACCTGCGCTGCCCTGTGGATGCCTCCTCCTGTGCTGCCGTAAATCCTGCTGTCCAGGTGGATTACTGGAGGTGGAGGTGGCTGACAGCACAGGGAGGGGGTTATAAAATCTGCCTGATAAGCCTCCCGTAGGTGAATCTCCCACGGGAATCCCCAGCCGAACCCCAGGGCAGTGCTGGAGGGACACCTTCCCTGAGTGACTGCACCCCAGCAGACCCCGGTGCGGGGGCAGGAGCCTACCCCTGGGTACCCAGCCACCGGCGCAGCCCAAGCTGCAATTTGCTGCCTCAGAAGAAGGTGACGTGCTACAAGATGGGATTACATTTCCTTTTAATTGATCAGAGCGTTTTCTCTGCCTCCGTTTGTCCCACACCATCTGTACAATTGGGGAAGCCAGGACAAGTAGGACAGTCTGGGGTTTCTCTACATCGACAGTGGGATTCCTGCAACACACAGAAGCGGAGTCGGTTTTAATGCAGGGTGGGCTCAGCAGTGCGGTGGATTCTGATCCGAGGGCTTGGCCCTGCCTCGGGCTGTTAAACCGCTGCGAGTAAACAAGAGCCACCGGCTCTCTCAGTCCTGACCTCACAGGCCAAAGAGCACAGGGACCAGAGATCAGGCAGATAGCTGGGGAGCTGGTGCCCTGCTGTACCTGCTCCAGGCAGAGGCCGTCGGAGAGGCTTTTAGCCACTTACCTGCCAGGCACAGCACACACGCGGCTGCAGATAAAATCCCCCAACTGCCAGCACATGGGAAGAAGAGGGATGAGGCACACTCTTAGCAGGGCAGAGAGAAAAAGGGCCATGAGGTAAGCAGCCCAGCATTGCCTCCCCCGAGACAGAAGCTGTTTGTTTTTAGTGGAAGGGAGTGTACACGGAGCAGAGGCCACACATCGCTCTCCCTCTGGGGCCCCAAGGCATCCAGCCTGCTCCCAAGCCCGCTGGCGTGGCCTGTCCCAGCAGGGACCTGGAGGCAGCAGCGAGGCAGCCCCACTGACTGCA